TATTGTCCAGGATCTCGTAGGAATGCCGTAACGATTTTACGAGTAAGACGGCAACTGTAGACAGCGAGTCTGTTTGAGCCTCGGTTCAAGAGATTCCAATCGGCTCTCTGTTTAGCCCGTCGAACTACTCATTGTCAGTCGATTGCAGGATTGTCCGGCACACGGTTCAAGACCCGTTGACAATGACGCGTGTCTATTGTAACATTAGATGCGCCTGTTGCGTCGAGGCAATAGCGGCAATATCCAGTTTGTAGCTCCCGGACGACGCGTCACTGCACGGACCGACTGGCATTTCGAGTCCATTTGTCCGGTTGCCGCGTCGATACCGCAACTCGATTAGGCGACGCGTATATTACAGCTCGCTCTCCCCCTCTGACCGTTTTAATGGTAATAATTAATTCCTTCCTCCGCGAGAACGATTCGCCCAACGTGTCGAGCACTGTATCGAGTTTCACTCGTCCGGGCGGGCTCGCTGGCTGTTAGCGCCCGTCCAAACGGGCAAACCCGCATATCTTTTATCGACTCCGCTTTGTTATGGTGAAAGGTAACGATTATGGCTGAATCCCCACATTTTCCTGGGCGTACTCGGTTTTGTGCCATTAACTTGTGCTCATTCCGTGAAATATAATGTTCGATTGGCGTGATATAAGTACTACGCGAACTGCACGGTCATTGAACAGACATAAAAGCAATTTGAAGTAACAATATCAGCGTTTGTAAATAATAACTACCATATAAATTTACGATGGTGATTTTCAGTTGCTAAGTAATAGAATTTGCACACTTTAATTTAACACCGTAGATTAATAAATTTACGTTTACAAACGATATTAAAAACCGATTTTTAACTTTCTCTTTTTTTTTTTTTTTTTAAATTTAATATGAGGGGTTAGTGTAAATTATTTTTATAAATGATATTAGCAATCGATTTTTAATAGATCTTTTTTCTGTCTTTCTCCCCCTCGCTCTTTTTAACTTTATATTATAGCTAATACACAAAATCTGTTGTACGGCTTAATAATGATGACTAACGACTAACAATTGTGGCTTCCGAAATCCAGGCTGAATGTTCGTACGTGGCTTCCGTTAAATCCCTTTTACACGATCTCCCACCATCGAATCCCGATTAAATAACCGCAAGCATCCGTGCGCCGACGTCTGTTACGCCTCATTTGCACATTAATCGCTCTAACTCGCAATTACAAAATATGGTGTGCAACATGATACACACCCGCAGACAATGGCTCGTGAATGGCTCATTATCGATCGGCGCGCTTCCGATCGATTTATAACACAACTCCGTCCGTAAGGAATTAATTGGATCAAATTGTAATCATATTGTATAAGAGGGAATAAGTAACTTAAATGAGTTACTTAAAGAACTCATCAGATTATCCACTCTCCGTTGTAAGTTATTAAAAACTTCATTTCGAGAGGATTTTAATTTTCAATTTACAATGCAAAGTGTATAACCAATGGAATATAATGATCTTTGAAATCCGAATTTTTTAAAATTCCATTAACACGGGGACAAGCTTATGGTAAAGAAGATTCTTTACTGCCGTGGGAAATTCGCTCTTCTATCTTTATTATAACGATTCATTTTCCGATATTTTCAAGCGTCGCTATTAGCGTTATATTTGTTGCATCTATCACGAAAAGAAACTCTTGTCTCACACAGGCTTTTTTCAAACCTTCCCTTCGTGTTGTATAACAAGAGGAAGATGATCGTCTAAGACGCCGTCTAATTTCGAACAATGACGAATACGGTCTATTGCGTTAATATTGCCATTGTCTGCAGACGGTGGATGTGGTGCAAGAGCCCTTGACGATCTTCGACGCGCGTGAATAGGTCCCCCGGAAACAGCGGAAGTGCTTTGTGGCGTCAATTATTCCACTTTGACATCAGGGCCATGCGTATACTCTTCCTTTCTTTTGTGAGAAAAAGGGAAAACTTTGCAAGAGACAGAGCAAAACTTGTCGTACGAGGTTCGCTTCGAGAACAAAACTCCGTCAGCCAGGTTATTTAGAAATACTCGTTGCATTGTTGCTAAGAGCGTTTATAATAATGTATTAATATTGAAGTAACATAATAGTTTAAATTAAATTCCAAAGTAAAAAAAGATTATTTGATATATTTGCAATTGCAAATTCATACATTTGCATTTCCAAATATGAAAGTTTGTTTCAATTTTGTGAAAAAGTTTAAAGAACTGATAAGAATCTTATTTTTTAATCTTTTAATGTAAAAATCTTATTTTTAAATCTTTCACGTGTTTATTGTAAACGTCGCAGTTGTTGTCTAATGTTGTTAAATCGTGCTCGTGAATTAGTTTTTTCGTATAAGTTTTTTCAATATATAATCAATTTGCAATGTGTTTACTTCTCAAGATGCTATTACATTGACGTGTACTATTCTGGCCAAACGACCATTTTCTATTTCTGCTGCTTACTTTGCCGTAACTTCTTGATTGCCACGGGAAGATTAACGGTCCGACGGCTAATTAAGCGATCGTCATTTAAGCGACTTTGATGTACGTCCGTCGCGGTCTGAAGGCGCTCCGTTCAAGAAGTGCACCCTCCAAGACATCGTGGCAAGTCACGAGAGCGTCCCGGAGGGGGTGCTTGAGTCCGCTGTAATCGGCCGCTTCCACCTTACGCCTGCAAAACTGCCCTACCGCACGTTATCGGCCATTATTCCCCACGGAGGGGTTCCTCGGAATCCGTCGTTTGACAGCGTTCAGCCGCACACACGACGCACTTTCTTTCCGCCACATTTCAGCCCTCGCCGCCGCGCGCCATTGCCGCTTGGTAACTTCCCGAGATATACGGGAGCCTTGCATTATGCACCATAGGGTGGGCGTCGACGCGAGTATGGGTTGTTTATGACTGCGCGTATGGGAGAACTTCTTCGCCTTAGCGATATTTTAAATCATGCGTCTTTAAATCTTTCCTGAAGTGGATTTCGAAGCTACTAACTTGACAATAGCAGCACAAATATTCAAGTACGAGTGACAAGTAGAAGACAAGTACGTTTTATTCAAATCTTGTATTAAAACTATTTTTTCAAAGCCATTTTAAATTTCTTTTCTGATCCGCGAATAACTGAAATTAATTATTGCAGACATAATCTTCCTTAGAATTGTTGCAACAAATTTTTTATTAGCAGTTTTTAAATGTAACGTATTAAATATATTAATTTGATTCTAAAATTTTTGAGATTAAAATGTCTTATTTTCGACGTGTATTACTAGAATTTTCTTTAATCAAAGGACGACTCGTATTTTTAAAACAATTTAAATAGGCCAAATACGAGAGCAAGAATTTTCTTACGATATCTGCGAGTGTCGTGTTTTATTTATTTGGTGGATTGTGAGAATTGTAACTCTTTATGTTTGCAGCGATTGTTGTAGAAAAGTATCTTTCGACGCAAAAGAGACTAGTGACTGTATTATGTACGAAGGGCGTTACAAACAAGAAGGTAGTAGATGGCCGATAAGTGCAGGTTAAAAGGGCACGTTCAGAGAACGGTCTTTTAAAAGAACTCTTTCTTCTTCTAAGACCTTAACAGCGCGATAAAGATAAAGTCGAGAACAAGACCGAACGTCTCGTTCCCAAATCTCCAGTCTAGATTTTCGTTTTGCTCAGCTAACTTCGTTACTTGTAATTAAATTATATTTATTCGTTTTTTGCTCTTGCGCATATAGTTTTGTTTTTAGTAATAAACGATTATTCGCTGTTGAAGTTAAATTTAATTCTATTCGCGCGTATACGAATAAAAATAATTGAAGAAATTGTTTCTAATGATTTTAACTCTTTAACGTAAAGTTTTATTAATTCTGTTAAAATCTGTTAAACCTTGGTTTTTTTTCTTGTTGATTTTACTGCATTGTATGTATATGGATCGCCAATATATATTTATCTATTCTATCACGGTTACTTTTTTTAGTTTTTTCTCAATATTTAATTATATTTATATTGATTTCGCAAACATGTCTGGCACAAAAATTCAATTTATAAATGTTAACATCAATAAATCTCTTTTCCATTTTTTACTGACCGCATATCTTGCTTCGGTGTAAATGGGTTTCAGAATAACGCGACGAAAAACTGCTAAGTTATCTGTGTGACTGCCGAGTATCGATTTTTTTGATGACATGAATTATATTACTTTAGTCTTTGTATGTCTTAGTAATGTCTTTAGTAATGAAAAAAATCAACTAAAAGATTGAAGGAGGGCAAATTAAAAGAAGAGAATATTTGAAAATATTTTGGAATAGAAAATTTTAATTTAGAATTTTTCTTTTATTAGAATTCATAATTGTGAGATATACGGTATTTACAAATGTACAGATTTTAATAAACGAAATTGTGATTCTCTCGTTGAATATATCGTGCAATGGATCGATGATCGTTTACTAGTTTCCACCCTTACAGCCGATAAGAGGGTTGTTGGATTGAAACTTCGCATCCCTGGTCGGTAAACGCGGATAACATAGGAAACTTCGTACGCTTCGTATGCTGGAAAAGCGGAAAATCGGGATAACGTGTATCTTACATTGATAATTCTGTATTACGCAAATGTGGCTAACATGAGTTTATACCATACGCAAGTAACCAGTTTGCAAATTTATACAATATCCATTTCTATGAATGTAGATTAAATTTAAACTCAATTTAAATTACTTTTGCTTTTTTCTAATTTTTAGAAGCAAATATATATAAAAAGTAAGTAAAATTGAAATAAAGTTAATCCATATTGATAGAATCGGGTATAAATAACCCGTTTTGATAGTCGCAACATATACTTTTTTATATTATAAATTGTATTATTATGATTATATACAAATAATAATGTTAAAGAATCATTTTATATGCTTCGTATTTTTGACGAATGACTTAGCAATTTTATCTTTTCAAAAATTTAATTTCCTCTACGTAGACATAAAAAAGCGTTGTAGCGTAAATTATACATAGGATTATTTTTTTTCTTTTTTCAGCGAAAAAGCAAAATGGTGCTGCTCTGCGAACAAATAGTTTGGGTTCGGGTGCGAGAACGCCGCCCTTGGAAAGAAAAAGTAAATTTTCTGCCCTCGGTAGACTCTTCAAGCCTTGGAAATGGAAGCGGAAAAAGAAATCGGATAAATTTGAGGCTGCTTCTCTATGTAAGTAAATAATACGACTTAAAAATGGTTCAATTTAAACGCGACATATGTTTTTATTTGTAATAATAGAAAAATACTTGAATTTTTAATGGTGGATTTTCTATGCTATGTTACTTTTATGATTGACGTTGCTTTGTCACGAAGGGTCTTTGCATTTTAAAATAATGAATGTTATTAATATATGCGTTTAAGTAAAGTGTTTGCGTTTTGCACGAACAACCGGTATTTAACGTATTTTAATTATTTCCAACTTCTTAAATTACTATGCCCGAAGTCGTTTTAAACGTTTGCCATGTGCAACATTGTACTGCGAAAATATTTAAACGGTGCTGCAGATAACAGAGCAAACAGCGTAATGACGTTCGTGTTCGTTTCCTTTGTCTTTGTTAATAGCGCTCGAGAGAAAAATCTCGGTACGTGCCAGCAGAGATGAATTGGTGCAGAAAGGGATATTGCTGCCCGTGATACGGTCGACGTCGTTTCCGGAAAATGGTGAGTATGCATTTTCTTTCTCTTTTAATTTCTTCTTTTCGTACTTGTTTTCTGTTGTTCTGTATTGCGTTTACGCTATATTTTTCAAATTTGCTCGGCACCAATCTTCTTCAATGCCACTGATTTTTTTTTGTCAATAATTATTTCGTTGGTTGGTCGTTTTTTGCATTTTACGTAGCAACTTTATCTGTTTTCAAATTACGTTCGGTCGTTTTCCATTGCTGTCTTTCTCGGTACTTTCTTGTTATATATGTTGAAATTTGCACGCCAGACAGATATTTCCGAGTCCGTTTACCTGGCGCGCCGAAAGTGGTGTCCACCCCTTCGGCAAATTGCACAGGAAACGAGAAACAGACTTGCTAGGGTGTCGACAACTTGCTGCCCAATGGTGAAGGGTCGTAATTGCGTTTTACAGTCGTTACCGTGTGGCAGACGCGAACTCAATTTCCGCAGTTTCGTAACGACTGGTCCCATACCTCGTACCAAAATGACGCGATTAATCGTCCAAGCTGATTCGTTTCTTGAAATACATTTATCTCTTATCATTTGCATGTTTGCAAGGCGGATAGCAACGTGTATACCGCTGATATTATCCGCTGATATTATCGCGTTGTGATATCACTGTGATCCTTCTTACCGACGAGCTGTACAAGGCTCTCAAGAAACGGTTTCACGCTTTGTTCGAACGTGGAGTTAGTTGGTCTCTCTGCGAGATATAGATATAATCAATCGTTATATTTTTTCATATCTGCAATTTTGAACAACTGCCAATTAATATAAAATTTTGAGAAATATCTCAATCAATAGTGATATAAAATTAGCAGTAAAATCATAAGTAACTTGTCATCTTCGTTTCAAGAAACACAAACTTTATGTTTACCGAGAAATCTATAATCGAGAGAATATTTGCGATTTCCGAGACATACAACAAATACTCGACAGAGGCCAATTAACGGCGCGGGAAGGTATGATTTCGAAACACCTTTAATTTCGTCGCTCAAGGACTTTGCGGGTAATTAATAATTATCTTTCCTCGATACTTAAACACGTAACAATAGTTAGCCTGTGTATCCCGTCGTCAAGAAAATTCTAGGTATCCCATGGATTCCGAAACTATTTCGCAAGTTCCGTCATCAGTCATATTCTTCGTCCAAACAGTCGGAACTTTTCGAGTTTTGAGAGACCGCGCCGCGCGTGGCTTCTACATCCCACCTTTTGTAATTAAAGTATTCCGCTCGCAGTTTCGTCAGATTATCGCAGGAAGTTGCGGAACTTGTCGGCGGTAAGTCGACGACAATGACGTAGGGCTATTTATCAACGTACGTCATTCCGCCGGTTACTACGTAAGAAAGAGAGAGAGAGAGAGAGAGAGAGAGGGGGGGAAGACATTTATTTAAATTAACCGCAAAATCGATGGAGACCCATGGGAAACGTGGGGATATGAATAGCGGGAAATACAGTGAGATATCGCGTAGAAGTGAACACATTGAAAGAAAAATACCGAATATTCGATATCATACATTAGGTGTACATTAAAAAAAAAGCTCAACGTCATTATCTAGCTTACGTTGAAATCGAATATCGATGTTTCAGAAAGCTGATAGGTAGTGAAAACATTTTTTTTTACAACCATGTTTTGTATGCAGTAAAAAATATTTGTTACAGTAAAAAATTTTGCCTTATCGTACATACAGAAAATATAAGACATATTTTTTTATAATTATTTATATACATTGTGCAACTTTTTTGTTTTTACACGTGCGTTTATATCGAGATTTAAAATACTTTTAAATTGATTACACGTTTTTATACATATATTTTTTCGTCTATACTTGCGTTAACACGGTTTTTTTTATATATATTAATCTTCGATTTATATCTATTTTGATGAAATGCTATTAATTACAAGGTCGATGGATTACCGCATATATTCCGGAATTTATACGTCGCAGTTGTATCCGCGATGAACCGAATTAACGTGACGCCACTGACGTCCATAATCGTTGCATTGTTGACTGCACAGAGCCGTTGTTACGTCCTGTGACTCTCTGTTCTGAGTTCTAATATGACCGAGTGAAACTCCAGCTATGCACCCGACCTTTGAAATTCCACCCGATGTCCGGATCCTTCCTATGTTAAATTAAATTCAATCCATCTATATAAATTTGATCCATTCTGGTCCTTTGTGCTTCTGTCGTCTCTATTTTTTTTTTTTTTAGTTTATCTTGCAATTTCAACTAAATATTTCATTGTTCAATGTTTTCTTTGAAGACTAACATTCCTCCACGTGTGCATTGCCGTGTACGCGAATTAATAAAAAAAAATCCGACTTTTTCGCTCTTTCAACCTTCGCGCATGCGACGCCATGCAAATTCCTCATGTAACCACCTTGGAAATTGGCTACATCGCGGAAACGGTTTACGAATTAATCGCGTCCAGATGCCGGCGGTGCGTCCCTAAAAACGACGCGCGTTCCAAGAACGCCGCGAGATCCGGGCGAATTAATATTCAAGACCGGATCGCGCTTCTCGTTGCAGAAACGATAAGCGAGTCGGTGACGGACGCGCAAAAACCACCGTCGCCGCAGCAAACGCCTCAGCAGCAGCAGCAGCAGCAACAGCCGTCGCAGCAGCAACAACCGCCCGGCGGTACCGTGGCTGGTGGCACCGGGGGTGGCGACGGCACCCCCGCGGCAACACCCACGTCCGCCGGTAACGCGCAGCAATGCCAGCAATCCCAGCAAGCGGTACCCTCGGCCACGCCGACCCCGACGACTGCCAACCCGCATTCTACTGCAGGACCGCCCAGCAGCAATCAACCATCGCCCCATCCCTCGCCACTCTACCCCGTGATACCGCAGCAGGCCGGCCAGCCCAACGGCAGCACGCAAGGTAAGCCCAGGGTTGCAAGTTTCCGTCTCAGTCGCCCCCTTACGCCGCGCGACCGAACACGAGTTCTCGCGTGATTTCTCACTGATGACTGTCACGGCAGGGTGCAAATTTCACGCACGGTTGCTCGAAAAGTTGGAACAAGAGAACGATAGGAAAACCGGTCGACCGTCCCCTATCGAATTTCGAGTCTCGTGGCGACTAGAATCGTATCTACTTTCCATCATTAGAGATGTTAAATCGATAAATGACGAGAATATCGTTCTGACGGTAAGGTATTGGTCTTTCTCTCTTTCCGATCGACAGGAATACGTAATTCTAACTTTGATAAAAATGAGGAGCGCTAAGAATAAGACGTCGCTGGAGATATATACGTAAGGCGACTATATACGAGATGACGTAAACGTTATTCGATTGTGCTATTTGGGAAGGTAGATTCTATCTATCGCGCGGCAGACAAGCCAATTTGAGTAGGTACACGTGGGAATTGCTGTGTATCGATATTGCATTCGCGCGCAGACAGGCCAAATAAATCATTCTATTTCCGTTTCCTCTCGTTTTTGGTTACGTAACAGAAACGTAATATTTTGGTCCCCGTGGCTTACATACAAATTCGCGTAATACTCGTAGAACCAAATCTAATTATGTGTATATGTATGTACATCGACGGATCATGCCCATATCAATCTGCATCAATCGCTCTAACGAACAATTAATGACACATATAAAAACATTTATTAGATAAATTCTGTTTTGTAACTTTCTTTTTGTGTATGCAATTTTTCCTGATATTTTACTTTATTTTAAACTTAGCTTTTTACCATAATTTTCATGCATTATTAATTATTGTTTATTTCGCACAATATTTTTCTAATATATGTACATATTGTGTGTATCTTTAATATTCTTGGTTAATTATTGGTTGATATATTATGAATGATATGAAAGAAATATTACCCTTCTTTGAAAAAAAAGCTTTACAGATTGTCGCATAATGAGCTCTTATCGCTGCTGAGCGCCTAAATTTTGCACACACACAATGGTGTATGCATAAGCGACGACCCAATTAGGGAACCTTGTGTACCGAGGTAACATTAACGGGCTACCCAAGTATAATCGCGATGCATCGTGCTATGCCGACTAAATTTCTCATAGAATTCGCGCTTTACTGTTTTGATGATCTCTTGCCTTCCAGGCATTTATAATAAATTCAAAATAATATTAATATCGAGCAAACAATAGTGTAGAATTTTTTATACATTTTTTAATGTAATGATAATGTAAAAATTGCATTCTAGAAAAAAAGATTTTACAGCATAATTATATAAATGAATCTGCAATTTATTTTATTTTATCTTTTATAATTGAGCAACACGTCTCTTAAAAAAAAAGAACAACCATTTTACAGCGAAGATTAAATTAACGATTTTTTTTACATATTAAGTGTGTCTTTCAGAATCCAGACATTTTATATGTAAACGTTAGTTACTATTATTTAATATTTCACACAAAATATTGAAATATATATTGTGTGACCTGGATTTTGCACATTTTCGTGAACTCGCACGTCGAATGTATTTTTAAAATAAATTGGATAATCCTCTGTGTAATAAATAATGACGTACGAATACGTACGTCAAAATAGAAGAAGCCAATTGTAGTCGGTAATACGGTACGATATCTTTTAATCTAATATTGGTTTTTGCAGTACAAAATTTACTTATTCTTAAAGTTTATCAGACAAACGTATATATTTTTATGCATCTATTCGATATTTCAATTTAAGTATAAATAAACGAAGGAATGACAAATTAGCTTTCGCGCGCAAGCAATCCAATTCTTTGTAACGTCACGTGTAAGTAGTTGATGTATCACTTAAACAAGGTTATCGGGTTTCTTCGTTGGTCTAAACTGAAACCGTAAAAGGTACGTTATTATCCGAACTAGTAATGCGATATTACAAAGTTCCTTCGGCTGTATTTCTAACTACAGACCTTGCAGAACTCTAAACTTTTGATTCTTAACACAGTTCGGAAGCTGACATTAACTCTTTTTTTTTTTAGAAAGCGTAAAATGCGAAACTTTAATGCGAATAATTTTATAAAAATGTTGTTTCTCGTATGTATTTGTTACTTGTATTTTGATAGCTTGTGGGCTGTCAATCACTATTTGGACGATTTAATTTCTCATGTTAATTAAAGTTTCTTAGCGCGAGGTAAAATAATTTGAGAATGCACTAGCGCTTTTACATTCAAGTAATATTGTCCGCACAATAATGCCGTTCGTTAATGTTAACGCTATTTTTGAGGGAATGAAATTTTTAATTTGCATTGTGGAAGTGAAAAATGAAGCTAAAAATAATATAAATATAATTTTAAAAAATTGCTTAGATTTATACATATAACAGAACATGTAATAAGTTCACACTATTAATGAAAATAGATACTGGAATGTGTTTAATCTTACATATTACGTTTATTTATTATTAGACACAAAAATACATAAGAAAATACAAAATAATAGTTATTATATACAAAAGTATATAAAAATACGATGCATCGACGATTTTATTGCTCTCCGGATTTGTAATGTAATGCTCACCAGAGGTATATGGATAGTAATTTCATGCCTCTTTTCGCGCGACGATGTTTTTATTCGCCGCGGGAGCACCGTAGGAAAATACATTTTTG